TCGTTTTTTTTCCTTTTTTAAATGTTTTCGATGCAACTGACCTTTTCCAAATACATTTCTGTAATTATGATTTACTTTCAGATCCATTATGTTAATTATCCCCAGCTCGAAATTCCACCGCTATTGAAACAGTAATCTGATTAGATCATTATGCATGATTTTTGCTTTAGTCAAGTATTAATCATCATTAAGTAACTCTAATGAGCTGCAATCTTCATGACTGTACAACATATGGATTGATTGAAAACGGATGTAAACACAGGAACGCAATTTCTTTTTATTGTGAATGAGATTACCAATGACTTTAATTGACTTCACTAATGCATATCGAACTTCAACGTTGCAAAAAACAAAAACAAAAAACTTTACTCATTTATTGGGTCATGTCAATAACACTTATTCGTTAAACCGATATAAACCAAACAGCTGATTTTCTCTCCCCCCCCTCTTACCCCCCTCCCCCCGCTCCCCGCTCTTCCCCACCTCCCCCGCCCCTCCATTCCCCCTCCCCCTCCCCTCCCTACCCCCCCTCTCCCAAGTATAAAAGCATTGGCATTTGTCAAATAAAAGGACAAAGGTCAAAGCTTTTAGTAAGAGAGGCCCTGGTGATTGCACACTGCTGATAACGCTCGCTGTATAGACTTCAAAGTGTATTTCAGAGTTAAATACTTGACCTGAATTATATACAGTACAATAGCAGTAATTGGTTGCTGCCGGTAAATCGAGGCTGTCTTACTAGATGTAAGTGTCTAACTGTGTAAGAATGTTTAAGGCTAGTTTATGTATACACATACATGTATAAACATATGCATGTATGTATACATGTCAGGGAGGATTGTTATATATCTATATCAATGCGACATTGCCTTATTCTATCTTTCATATATATATATATATATATATATATATATATATATATATATATATATATATATATGTGTGTGTGTGTGTGTGTGTGTGTGTGTGTGTGTGTGTGTGTGTATGTGTGTATATATATATATACATACATACATACATAAACACAGACATATCTATACATATATATATGTATGTGTGTGTGTGTGTGTGTGTGTGTGTGTGTGTGCGTGTGTGTGTGTGTGTGTGTATGTGTGTGCGTGCGTGTGTGTATGTGTATTTCCATATATTACACACACACACACACACACACACACACACACACACACACACACACACACACATATATATATATATATTTATAAATATAGATACAGATATAGATATAGTTACATCATCGTATCCACCCTATTTTTGGTTAAAAAAAATGCAACCAAAGACAAACAGGTTATTTACACACTCCTCCTCCCCCTTCCCCCCCCTCCCCCCCTCCCCCTCCCCGCCCACCACATAATATCTCTCCAAATTTAAATGAGATTTGAATAATTCATTTTCGAAAGTTGATATCATGAATATTTTCTCCTCAACATTAGAGAATATGGTTATTATCGTGTGCATATACCGTAGCTTTTTCTAACATAAGGAGGATTTAAACACAGTGAAGCTGATGGCAAAGCGATAAATCATAGGAAGTGCTTTATCCTTACGTACATATTTTCACATGTATCTATCTATCTATCTATCTATATATATATATATGCATACATGTACATGCGTACATGCACACACACGCACACACATACACACACACACATATATGTGTGTGTGTGTGTGTGTTTATATATATATATGTGTGTGTGTGTGTGTGTGAGTGTGTGTGTGTGTGTGTGTGTGTGTGTGTGTATGTGTGTGTGTGTGTGTGTGTGTGTGTGTGTGTATACATATATACATTATATATATATATATATATATATATATATATATATATATATATATATATATATATATATATATATATATATATAAAGATATATAAAGATATATAACCCCTTTATGGCTTAAGTTCATTTTTTAAAAATTCTGTCTGTTTTTCCGACTCTGTCTCCTTGTCTGCATGTTTTTGTCTCTCTATCCGTGTCTCTGTTGGCTTGTCTATCTGTCTGTCTCTTTCCCTTTCTCTCTCCCTTCCTGCCCCCCCCCCCCTCTCCCTCTCTCCATATCGCTTCTAAACAGACTTTTCTTTCTCTCCTCTCTTCTCCTTTGTCTCCTTCTCCCTTGCTCGTAATTTAATATTCATGAAATATGACATAATCCTTGGTATCTCATTAGCTCTGATTATTACGGGAAAAGTCACAGAAGCTCGCTCGTGCGCCCTGCCTGTGTCTGCCGCTGTCTGCCTGACCGACTGGGTCTGCTTGTCTGTCTAGGTTTGCCGCTGTCTGTCTGTGTCTGTCGGTGTCTGTCTAGGTTTACCGCTGTCTGTCTGTGTCTGTCTGTCTGTGGTTGTCGGTGTCTGTCTGTCTGTGTTTGTCGGTGTCTGCCTGAACGACTGTTTGCCTGCCTGACTGTCTGTGTCTCTTTGTCTGTGTCTGCTGACTGTTTGCCGCTGTTTGTCTATCTGTCTGTATCTTTCCCTTTCTCTCTCCACTTCCTGCCCCCCTCCCCCTCCCCGCCCAAAAACATAATATCTCTCCAAATTTAAATGAGATTTGAATAATTCATTTTCGAAAGTTGATATCATGAATATTTTCTCCTCAACATTAGAGAATATGGTTATTATCGTGTGCATATACCGTAGCTTTTTCTAACATAAGGAGGATTTAAACACAGTGAAGCTGATGGCAAAGCGATAAATCATAGGAAGTGCTTTATCCTTACGTACATATTTTCACATGTATCTATCTATCTATATATATATATATAATATATATATATATATTATATATATATATATAATATATATATATATATATACATTATATATACATTATATATATATATACATTATATATATATATATATATATATTATATATATATATATATAATATATATATATATATATAATATATATATATATATATATATATATATATATATATATATATATATATTATATATATATATATATATATATATATATATTATACATATATATATTATATACATACATATATGCATACATGGATACATACATACATACATACACGTGGATACATACATACATACACGTGGTTACATACATACATATGCAAATACATACATACAAACAATTTGCATATATACATACATACAGGCATATAGCCATGCATACATACATTCACACATACAGGCAGACATACGTACACACATATACACACATTTATATAAGAATATAAGCATCCATCCATACATACACACATAAACCAAACACACATACAAACATACACACATATACACAAACAGACACACATACACGCATACAAACACACACACATACATGCGAACATACGTACACACATACATACCACTATAAAAAAAAAAAAAATGTTGGTAAGACCATTACAAAAGCTAATATAAAAAAGTCAATAGATTATTATAATTTTCGAAACACAAATAAGATACGCAAGGAGCCTTCAGCCTCATTAATAGAGGATCAAGCTTAATTGAACTCATTAAGCTTGAGTGTGACCTTGTGAGTATCTGTTTTTTTTTGTTTTTTTGTCGTGTTTGTTTGTTTCTTTTTGTTTTTTTTTTGTGTTTTTACCCGAAGACGAGTGCTATAACTTTCTCGAAACGTTTATTTTATTATTATTATTATTTTTTTAAATTTCACCCTCAGTATTCTTTTTTATCTTTCTTGGTTTATCAGATAATAGTGAAAATGATGATGGAAATAATGACAAGGATAATGATAATGATAATTGTGATGATGATGATAATCATAGTGATAATAATGATAATAATGATAGTAATGATAATGATAATACTGATGATGATGATGATTATGATGATGATGATGATGATGATAATAATTATCATCATCATTATTATCACTATTATTATTATTATCATTATTACTATTGTTAATAATAATAATGATGATGATGATAACAATAACAGTAATAATTATGATGATAGTAATAGTACGATGATGATAATGATAGAAATAATGATAATGATAATGATGACTGTGACAATTGTAGACAAGGTATGAATGAGATTGCATATCTTCACAAAACAAGAGATGCATTAAACCGGTTTCGAATATATCTCCGGCAGAAATACATGATATATTCAAAACAGGTTGAATACATGTTTCTCTCTTATGCCTTTTCTACATTTATCAACATGGATGCGGTTCATTGTGACAATATCACAATTAGTAATGCTGATAATAAAATGGTAATAATATTGCCAAAAGTGATGATGACGATAATGATAAAGATGATGATAATTATGAAAATGATAATGATAAAGAGGATGATAATGAAAATGATAATGATAAAGATGATGATAATTATGAAAATGATAATGATAAAGATGATGATAATAATGAAAATGATAATGATAAATATGACGATAATAATGAAAATGATAATGATAAACATGATGATAATAATGAAAATGATGATAATAATGAAAATGATGATAATAATGAAAATGATAATGATAAAGATGATAATGAAAATGATAATAATAACGATAATAATGAAAATGATAATAATAACGATGATAAAAAAATGATAATGGTAATAATAACAATAATAATAATAATAATAATAATGATAATAATAACAAAATTAGTACTACATATACCAACAACACCACCTAAAAAACAAAACAAAAAAAAAACGAAAAAAAAACACTTCCAAGCAACACTCACCGATCTTGACCGTCTCCTGCAGAAGGAGGAGCTCCACAATCTCCACATTCTCATTATCGACGGCGATCTGGATGGCGGAGCGGCCCAGGATGTCGGTGCAGTTCACGTTAACGGGGCTCGGAGGAGAGAGACATCGCATCATCGTATGCTTGTCTCCTCTCTCGGCCGCCTCCAGGAACACGCGTTCCTTCGGGTCCATCGTGTGGCCATCCTGCGGGAGGAGGAAATTTGGGGGGAAGGGGGTTAGTAACGGGGTTTGGAAAGTGTGGGTTTTTTGGGGGGGTGAGGGGTTCATGTGGAGAGAGAGAGGGAAGGAAGGGAGAGGGAGAGAGAGAGAGAGAGAGAGAGAGAGAGAGAGAGAGAGAGAGAGAGAGAGAGAGAGAGAGAGAGAGAGAGAGAGAGAGAGAGAGGGAGGGAAGGAGAGAGAGAGAGACAGGGAGAGGCAGAGAGGGAAGAAGACAAAGAAAGCGAAAGAGAGACAGAGGAAAATAGATAAACAGATAAATTAGACAGACAAAGAGACGGGTAGAGAAAGAGAGAGAGAAAGAGAGGACGAGAGAGAGAGAGAGAGAGAGAGAGAGAGAGAGAGAGAGAGAGAGAGAGAGAGAGAGAGAGAGAGAGAGAGAGAGAGAGAGAGAGAGAGAGAGGACGAGAGAGAGAGAGAGAGAGAGAGAGGACGAGAGAGAGAGAGAGAGAGAGAGAGAGAGAGAGGACGAGAGAGAGAGAGAGAGAGAGAGAGAGAGAGATAGATAGATAGATAGATAGATAGATAGATAGATAGATAGATAGAGAGAGAGAGAGAGAGAGAGAGAGAGTGATAGAAAGGCAGAGAAAGAAACATAGACATAGACATAGACATAGAAACAGAGAAAGACAGAAGAGAGAAAAAAACAGAGAGATAAAAACAGAGAGATAAAAAAGGAGAGAAGTGAGACGAGCGATTAGGAAATTTCGAGGAAAAATAAATTTAACTCTTTAATCGTCTTCGGCGTATCCTTCTAAGAGGATTTAGGAAATAGAAGAAAAGAATCATCTAGGAACCAAAGGGGTAAAGAACTTTCTTTTTTTTTTTCCTTTGGCGTCAGTCCTGTAGGAGAGAACAGTGAACAGTGTGATGTTCCTTTTCTTTGAACAGGATAAGGAACACGACACTGTATACATACACATATATACTGTATACATACACATTCAATATATGTATGCGTTTTTTTTTTTTTAAAGGTCAGGTTAATTTTTTTTTCAATTGATTTTGTCTTCGGTCGTAATTCAGAAAAATAAACTACACCAATGTAGATATATAGATATAGTGTTTTTTTTTATATTGTGTAACGGTAAAGTTTATTTCGAAAACTTACACCGGTTAGTGTTTATTTGATAAGATTATCAGATGCAAATTTTCCTCATTTTGCTAAGAATATCTCAGGCTTAGATTTCGCATACATTCCTAAGTATTTTTTTTTTTTTTTAGCTGATAGAAGATGCAAGAATTTAGGAATAACCACCTTGCAAAAAATCCAGTACATAACATGGACCAAAAAAAGTGGGGGGTGGGGGGGGGAGACAAAGATAGTCATAATACCATGCTTGAGAAATTGTGCGTTGTGGGATCTACACGTGAATTGCAAATGTTGAGTGCGTTTATTTGCAATCTTACCTGTGCTTGCTTACCTGTTATTTTTTTTTGTCTCATCGTGGCTGTGGTTTATTCATGCAAATTATTATTTTTTTTAGGGGGGTGGGGTAATCCCGTTCATAAGAGGATTGATTAATTCACGATGTTTATATGACGTGCCCTATTTTTCTTATTAAAGATTGTTAGAATAATTTTGAAAATATATTTCTGGTTTTAGGATTTTATTGTACTCATATTTTCTTTTTTTCTTTCTTTCTTTATTTTTGTTTCTTTCTTTATTCCTTATAAATCTCCAGGTTAAACAAACGAAATATTAATGTCGAAATAAACCCATTACACGATTCAAAAAAACAGACAAGAAAATAAGCAAGCTCGAAAAGATTTCTGATCCTCCTCCAGCGACGATCGAGAAAGAGGAAGGGAACGAGTCTGATTCCTTGATCCTAAGCAGAGCGCATTAGAACCCATCCGGCTTACATTCGATCGCATACATATAACCGCTTTAACGTACTTATACTCGCTGCTCCAGTGGGTGTTCGGAAAATCGTGGAGAACGGACGAAAAGAAACGATGATATACGACGTTATGGATAGAGATTTGTGATTATGGGTTAGGGAAAATGGCGTCATATGTTATCGTTAGAGTATACTTGTTGATATGTTGGTATTTCCCTGTATAAGACTGCATATACCTGCAAGTAAAAGTCAAAGCCAAAGTCTCACTCACACTCATCCAATAACACACACGTTTATATATATATATATATATATATATATATATATATATATATATATATATATATATATATATATATATATATATATATAAATATATATATATATATAAATATATATACATATATATATATATATATATATATATATATATATATATATGAATGTTAAAAGACTTCCACAACGGTATAAAAAAACGAAAATGAGATAATAAATCTACCTTTTGCATTGTGTTTTTTCCACCACACATACACACACACATATATATACACGATACATTTGTATAAACACTCGCAAAGATATCAAAAGACAGCAGGTCATTCCATACCTTGATGTCATTAGAATTCGTCCTGAAATTCCAGTAATTACTGTGCATGATTAAAGAATGCAACGAGCAACTTCAAAGGGAGCATCTTCATTTAGTCTTAGAGAGAGAGAGAGAGAGAGAAAGAGAAAGAGAAAGAGAGAGAGAGAGAGAGAGAGAGAGACAGAGAGAGAGAGAGACAGAGAGACAGAGAGAGAGAGAGAGAACGAAGGAGAGAAAGAAAAAAAATAAAGAGACAAAATGAATAGAGAAAATGAAAAAAAAGAAAACGACGCACTTGCAACTTGCAACTCATCAAAGGAAACAATACACTGAAAATGTCTTAGATACACGACCAATAATCACATCCCAACATCACAGAAATGCAACAGAAGCAATCAGTGTTCACTTGCAAAGATTAAACTTGCAATGCCGCATAATCCACGAACGCTTGCAAATGATCCTATTAACTGTATTTCAATTTGCTATTTACAGCCAAAGAGCAAAAATAGAACAGACCAGCCATCATAAACTAAAAAAAAAAAAAAAAAATAAAAAATAGATCTATGCATAATCCTATAGAAAACGGGAAGAATGATTTTATACACGTAATCCTTAAAAAAATGGGAAGAATAATCGTATACACACAATCCTAAAGAAAACGGGAAGACTATTCTTATACACGCAATCCTACAGAAAACGGGAATCATATCCTTATACACGCAATTCTATAGAAAACGGAAAGAATAATCATATACACACAATCCCATAGAAAACGGGAAGAATGATTTCATACACAATCGCATAGAAAAACGGGAAGAATAATTTCATGCACACAATCCCATAGAAAACGGGAAGAATAATCTTTATACACATAACACTATAGAAAATGGGAAGAATAATCTTATACACCCAATCCGATAGAAAACGAGAAGAATGTTTTTTATACACACAATCCCATAGAAAACTAGATGAATAATCTTTTTACACATAACACTATAGAAAACTGGAAGAATAATCATGCACACAATCCCATAGAAAACGGACAGAAGAATCTTGTTACAGAATCCCATAGAAAACAGGACGAATAATCATACACCCAATCCCATAGAAAACGGGAAGCATAATCTTTATACACCCAATCCAATAGAAAACGGGAAGAATAAACTCATACACATAATCCCATAGAAAACGGGAAGAATAAACTCATACACACAATCCCATAGAAAACGGGAAGAATAATCTTTATACACACAATCCCATAGAAAACGGGAAGAATAAACTTTATACACACAATCCCATAGAAAACGAGAAGAATAATCTCATACACACAATCCCATAGAAAACGGGAAGAATAATCTTTATACACCCAATTCCATAGAAAACGGGAAGAATAATTTTTATACACATAACACTATAGAAAACGGGAAGAATAAACTTTCTACACCCAATCCCATAGAAAACGGGAAGAATAATTTTTATACAACCAATCCCATAGAAAACGGGAAGAATACCTTTACACCACATGAGATACACATATCATTTTGTCTCTTTCATATACACTTTAATACATTCTGCTGTATATATTTACTACATCAGTCTTTGAAGTAAGACAGACTGCCGGCATGAATAGGAAATATGCTAATGAATGACGAAATATTACAGGCAGTTGGGCGCCTGCTATGAACTTCAGTCAAGATTCTTGGGAGTTTCATGAACACCAATACAAACAGGCATTGATAAGTATGTTATTTGTTATTAGGTATTTGTTGTTAGGCAATAGGTATTTTCTAAAATGATGGTAAAGATGGATGGTTAGATGAAGGAATAAATGATGGAAGGATAACTTTCGAAATATTCTGAATCGTGTGATAGAGGAAAGAGAAGAAAACGAGGAAGAAGAGGAAGAAGAAGAAGAAAAAAGAGGAAGAAGAAGAAGAAGAAAAAAAAAAAGAAAGAAGAAGAAGAAGAAGGAGAGAAAAAAGAAACTCAAGAAAAAGAAAAGTATAATACTTAAGCAGCAAATATATCGAATTCAAAATAATAGAAACGAAACGAAAGCAGAAGCAAAGAAACAAATAAAAAAATATGGAGATAAAAAACAAAACAAAACAACAACAAAACAATAACAACATAAAAGAGAAGAACAAAATTTAGTTTAACTGATAAAATTTGGAGACCAAAAACATAATACTCAAAAACAACAAAATACAAAATAAAAATAAACAACAATCTAACAGCTCATAAATCTCCCTCCATTTTATATAAAATACCAATCAAGTCGTTAATTCATGTGGAAATTTTGTAACGGTTTTAACGACAATTTTCACTGGCAGAGATTTTGAAATTGTCATTCATAATAAATACTACGGTTGACATTTCAGCTTCACAAATAAATTTCTAGGATGAAAAAATATTGCATTACAATGCTTTATTAATGATGATAATTAATGATGATAAAGATATTGATAACTTAATAATGATAAGAATGATAAGGTTATAATGCTAATAGTTATGATAATAATAAGAATGGTAATTAA